AAATGCTGTGATAGTGAGCCCTGATGCACTCGAGTTCTGTAGTTATATTTAGGTCAGTTCCCGAGTTAAGGCTGAGCCATCTCTAGTCGTTGCATTTGTGTTTAGTTTCAAACCAAGCAAGAATACAAGCCTGATCTGACCAGAGGTTGTGGGGCTGCTCTGACGTGCTTTCATGCCCCAACCCCTAGTTTGTAGCTGAAAGAGATGAAGCTGACCACATATTTTAAAAACTTCTTAGTGATACCTGGAGAAATAGTTGTGAAGGATACCTCATAGTCTTGGGCTTTCAACTGAAGATTCAGTTTAGTTCAGGCTTAACCTAAGTGCTTCCTTTGTACCAGCTAATTCGTACTTCACTCTGCAGGAGGTTGATGGGGCAGGGGAACTCTGTGCTCTTTAAGCAGGTGGTGAGATGATCAGATGTGCTCTAAGAGGTTAATCCAGCAGCAATATGGAAAGATGGGGGAGTGAAGGAAGACAGAAAGAAAAGAGGTCTGTCAGAGGACCTTCAAGTGCTCCAGTGGAGAGGTCCCAAGGGCCAGAGCCAGAGCAGTGGCAGTGAGGATAGGGACAGAGGAGTGGAGGGGATGATGGAGACCCAACCAGAGGAGAGGAAGTGAAGATAGAGATCCAGACAAGAGGACTGGAGGGAGGATGGAGACACAACCAAAGGAGAGGAGGTGAGGATAGAAATCCAGACAAGAGGACTGGAGGGAGGATGGAGACACAACCGGAGGAGAAGAGGTGAGGATAGAGATCCAGACAAGAGGACTGGAGGGAGGATGGAGACACAACCGGAGGAGAGGAGGTGAGGATAGAGATCCAGACAAGAGGACTGGAGGGAGGATGGAAACTCAACCAGAGGACTGGAGGGAGGATCGAGACACAACCAGAGAAGCAGAGGGAGGATGGAGACCCAACCAGAGGAAGGGAGGGAGGATGGAGACCCAACCAGAGGAGAGGAGGGAGGATAGAGACCCAACCAAAGGACTGGAGGGAGGATGGAGACTCAACCAGAGGAGTGGAGGGGACGATGGAGACCCAACCAGAGGAGAGGAGGTGAGGATGGAGGCCCAACCAGAGGAGAGGAAGTGAAGATAGAGATCCAGACAAGAGGACTGGAGGGAGGATGGAGACACAACCGGAGGAGAGGAGGTGAGGATAGAGATCCAGACAAGAGGACTGGAGGGAGGATGGAGACACAACCGGAGGAGAGGAGGTGAGGATAGAGATCCAGACAAGAGGACTGGAGGGAGGATGGAGACCCAACCGGAGGAGTGGAGGGAGGATGGAGACCCAACCAGAGGAGTGGAGGGAGGATGGAGACCCAACTGGAGGACTGGAGGGAGGATGGAGACCCAACCGGAGGACTGGAGGGAGGATGGAGACCCAACCAGAGGAGTGGAGGGCAGATGGAGACCCAAACGGAGGAGTGGAGGGCGGATGGAGACCCAACCAGAGGATTGAAGGGAGGATGGAGACCCAACCAGAGGAGTGGAGGGAGGATGGAGACCCAACCGGAGGAGAGGAGGGAGGATGGAGACCCAACCGGAGGAGAGGAGGGAGGATGGAGACCCAACCAGAGGAGTGGAGGTGAGGATAGAGATCCAGACAAGAGGACTGGAGGGAGGATGGAGACCCAACCAGAGGAGTAGAGGGAGGATGGAGACCCAACCAGAGGAGAGGAGGGAGGATGGAGACCCAACCGGAGGAGAGGAGGGAGGATGGAGACCCAACCAGAGGAGTAGAGGGAGGATGCAGACCCAACCAGAGAAGCAGAGGCAGGATGGAGACCCAACCAGAGGAGTGGAGGGGAAAATGGAGACCCAACCAGAGGAGTCGAGGGGAGAATGGAGAAGACACAAATTGAAGAAACACTGCAAAGAGAGATCCACATGACTTTATAACATGCAAAATGTGATAGGTGAGAAATAGGTTTTTACCATGAGTGACTGGAAACAGGGTTGTATCATTACTAAATGTGAGGAGCATAAGAAAAAGAGGAAATTCATGCACGAAAATTTATCTTTGGAACAAACTGGATTTGTGGTGCTGGCAAGATTGAGGCTGGTGGAAATGTGAGCTGGATTTCAAGATCATTGTCAGGATTGCTGGACAGTGATTTGACAAAGCATCATTCCTTTTGCTAGCCTGGTTCCTTGTGTCCCTCCATAAATGGTATGTGCTTTATGGCTCTAGTCAGTCTTTTTTTTTTTTTTTTTTTTTTTTCCTTTTTGAGACCGGCTGCACCGTGCTCAGCCAGTGAGCGCTGTGAACGCACTGGTCATCCCTGTATAGGATCCGAACCCACGGCGGGAGCGCTGCAGAGCTCCCAGCGCCACGGGCTCGGCCCTCTAGTCAGTCTTTTTTGTTAGCAGGTAGAGCATCTTACAAATAAGAGCCTTTGACTTCTTCTTGGAGTAGTCTGAGGTATCACATTTTATCTTTGATCTTCTAAAACAGATGCTTTCTATAGCTCTTCTATTTAAATCACGGAACCTTAAGTCATGTTAGAATGTAAATAACAGGTTCTCAGGGTGTATTAGTCCATTTCTGTGTTGCTATAACAGAATACCTAAAACTGGGTAATTTATATAGAAAAAGGTTTATTTGGCTTACAGTTCTGGGACAGCTGCATCTGGCACAAGCCTCAGGCTGCTTCTACTCATGGCACAAAGTGGCAGGCAGCTGGGGGTACAAGAAGATCACATGAAGAGAGGAAGCAAAAGAGAGAGGGGAGGAGCCAGGGTCTTTTAAACAACCAGCTCTCTCAGGAACTAATAGAGCAGAGATCTCACTCAGGACCCCCACCCCCCAGGGAGAGCATTAATCCATTTATGATGGATCTGCCCCTATGATTCAAACAGCTCCCAACACTGCCATGCTGGGGATCACATTTCTGCATGAGTTTTGGGGGAACAACATGTCCAAACTCTATCACGGGGGAAGAAACTGGGGTCAAGAAAGTATCAGTGAGTTGGGCAAGTTCTCATGGACTGATTCCTCACCCTTTGTGTTCCCCATCAGAGCAAAGGAGCCTTGCAGACCCTGTGGAGTGGAATCCATGGGGCAATTTACTGTCCCTTTTCTGTCTCTGCAATACAGCTTGTTACTTTGCAGTCAGAACTGTTCTTTAAAACTGTTTTGTATTCCTTTAGTCTCCTATGGCTTATTATTGTTGGTTCCTTCTAACAGAACACTTAAAATTTTTGCTTTCCCTCTCGACTTGGTTGAGTCTAAATATAGTCCCTTTGTGTGCACTTCTACCAAGAATATTCTGTATTTGTAATCAGCCCATAGTTTCTCCACACATGCACTGTGTCCAGCCCTCCTTCCCAAGTAAATGTTTATTCCATGACAGCAGTTTTGGGAATAGTGTGGGCTGTTAACTGAAAGCGATCGTTGCATAAAAATTAATCTATTGTCTGTCTTCATGGGCTCCTTTCACTCCCGTGACAGTGAGTGATCTTTACCTTTCATGCCGCCTATCCATCCACCCTCTCTCAGAACACCAGCCTCTTCTGAGGAGGGAAAGCGGTTGGTGAGGAGTCAGTGCCAGGTGGGAGAATAAACAGCTGTCAAACAAGATCCTGTTCACAACATTAGGGCTGCACTGTGTCATTCAAAGCTGTGATAATAAAGGCCCAGGGGAGAGCTCAGGGGAAGGGGAGGGGAGACCTATACAGTTCATGTAGGCAGGAGAAGCCACCATGAGAGAAAGAAAAGACCACTCTGACCGTTGTAAGCCCTGGCCACTTCAAGGCTGGCCCTGGTAAGCACATGGAGCAGGAGCTGGCAAAAGCTGCAGCTGTGCCCTTTGTATAAAACTGCTTGGAGGCAGCAGGGGAGAAGAGGGCCTTGGTGGCCCCCAGGCCAGCCAGACCATTAACAGGGTTCCCATGGAGCCACATAGTGAGTGAGGGGCCACAGACAACTGAAAAAAGGAGCTGCTCAGAGGCCAGTGAGTCAAGGGACAAATGCATGGCCCGTCCCATGGGAAGTGTTTGGAGCATGGGCAGTGGGGGAGACAGGCCCACCAGGGGAACACTGGGGCACAGCAAGGACCCCTGATCACCCCCCATTCAGCACAGGACCACTCAGTGGAGACTGGTCAGGAATATAGAACTGCAGGGGGTGCAGTTTGCTGAAAAGACTCAGACCCAGACCAGAGTTTCCGCACAACCCAGGTGGACCTCACAAGACCTGGAGGTGCTTAAAAGGTGAACCATTAAAACCTGAGCTGCACAAAAAGACTTCCCCAGGGAATCAGCAGCAATGAAGCAATTTAGCTCAACTTCAGGGCTCAAGTGTTGGTCCCCACAGGAAATTCCTCATTTTAGAAGTGAGCAAAGGACAACAAGTTAGTTCCAGTGCAGAGTCTGAGTGGTGGGAATAGTGAATAATACAACACAGGCTGAAAGAAAAAACAAAACCCCCAGAAATCAGAGACAAAGTCCTGATACTAACCAGTAAAGTCTAAGATCACCGAAGAACACCTATAAAATCTCGAAGGACCTGGAGCCCCCCAGGCTTCCAAGCCTAGGCAATGGGAAGTCAAGGGCCTCAGCCACAGCCCCCACCGTCTGCATCCAGCCCAGTGATTATCACTGAGCCACTGTAGGAAGCAAGCCGGTCTCCCAAGCTGGGGTGGAGGGGATGGAGCACCTCAGCCATGCCCCCTCATGTCCACATCCAGCCCAGCCATGACCACCAAGCCACTACTGGAAGTGCCCAGGGCTTCCCTGCCAGAATGAGGGGGTGCCATGGGCCTCAACCATGTACCCCCTTCCTCCTCCCCCCTCTCCCTCCCCCCCACAACTGCTCCACAACATCTTAGAATGTAAAAAACAATAATAATATTAATTAATTAATTAATTGATTGATTGATTAATAAAAAATAAAGGGCATGATTTAATTAAAGGTATCCATGAGACAAATTCGCCTTAACATGATAGAATTCATGCTTTATATTTTCTGCTTGTTCCTTGCCTACTGTACAGATGCTTTGAACCTCCGAAACCGACAGGTCATCTGCGTCACTCTCAAAGTCCTCCAGCATCTGGTGGTGTCAGCGGAGATGGTCGGTGAGGCTTTGGTGCCTTATTACCGCCAAATCCTCCCCATCCTGAACATCTTCAAGAATATGAACAGTGAGTTGTCCCAGGAGTTATTACCTTCTAAGCCCTGAAAGAGAGTGGTTTGAAGCAGAGTTAATTAGCAACACATTTGGGATTTATTATTGCATATAAACCATGATCCATTTGGAGGTCTAAATGGCATACTCCCAACCTTCTCCTGACACTCCCTGGAAAAACACTAAAATTAACAATTTCACCTATTACTCCTCACGCGGACAGCTTACATACTTGGTACAGGAGCACTGAAGCAGTTCTATACGCTACCAACAATTTAACTGTAAACTTTTTAAATAGTCTTTTGAATATGTTAGTAGGTTTTGAGTCCATTCGTTTTCTTGATAGTAATTCTACCTTTAGATTCTTCCCATTAAAATTAGTTTTTTTAATTGGCTTGAGATAAGTTTTTTAAAATACTATATTTAAAATCTGGGAGGTGATTTGGGGAGTTTTAATATGTGTTCCCCTGTTTCTTAGCAAAAGGAAAAAAGGAAGAATTTTTCTTATTTTGTAGTTAATAATATTTAATAATTTATAGCTAATTAATAATTTATAGTTAGTTGGTGGTGAGTACTGATTAAAAATATATATGCTGATCCATTTATTTTTTTAAAAAGTATTATTCTGTAAACTTTGGAAGTCATAGATGAGTTCAGATGAATCTGTTTAACCCTAACAAAGATATTAGCAAGTTTTCAGTGATCTCTTGGCAGGCAGTGGATATACATCTGTTCATTGACAGAGTAATTTTCTTGAAACGATGTGAATCTAATTTTCTTTTTTGTTGCTAACTTTGAAGTCCATACTTCTCACATGCATGGCATAAGTCAACATTTGAAGTTAATTCCTGATATCCATGTAAATAAGTTAGTAATTTAGTGGAACACTGCATGAAATTTTGCAACATGATCTGTTCCTCGTACATACAAGAAAAAAAGACAAACAGGAATCTAAATGTATGGCAGCTCCTATCACAAACAAATCCTTTGTTTGCAAGAATCATTATTTTTTTATATTATCACCAAATTACTGTTAAGTCTGCTTCAGGCCTAGACTATTCAGGAAATCATGAAATTCTCAGAAAGTCTTTAGCTGTCTTTCAATAGTAGGACCTACTTTATATGTTTAAAATTATACACAGTTTGTAAAAAAGACTTCAAACTGGGGTTATGGGAGCTTAAGACGCTTGTAATGGAATGAGTTGAAATCCATTCCAAATTATCAACAGAGCTGTGGTTAACGTGGACATTTTGACAATACGGTTACTCTTTGAGGAAAGTAAAACTGGGTTTTAGTAACTGAGTCTCTTATTGTCCAATAATAATATTATCCAGTGTTCTAGTAACAGCATTCCTAGTTTATTAAAAAATACTTATTTAAATAGTCTTCATTCATATTTTATATTTATATACATAGTTTATATTTTACCATGTAGCAGTATCAAATATCCATGAGTTACAGAATGATTCCACATGTGCACATTGTTCAGTTAAGGAACATGAAAGAAACTGTAAGTTCATCCATTATATTTAGATACTAGTTTCCTTTAGGAAGAGAGAGAGAGAGAAAGAGATGATAGAATGGAAGAATCAGGTGGAAGAATCAGGGAACATCCACCCTCAGAAGTCTTAGTTAACATTTTTTGAAAGTGTGTGATTCACAATTATTTCCTCGATAATCCTCACAGAAAAGTACGATACATGCATTATTACTATTTCTGTTTTATTTTGTCCAAGTCGCCTCTTTGTAGCTTTTGTCCTATGTAAACATCCGTTGCTGTATTGATCATCGTGGAAGATGAGCATTAACACATCCCCCCTCCCTTGCTTGAGTGCCTCGGAGCTGGAAGTCCCTGCAACACTGTGTCAATGTTTTTGTTGTCCCACAGTAAAATCTGGAGCTTAGAGCTAAGCATCCTTTTGTATCCTTGTATAAAAGAAGAAAATCAGTGATGTTCAAAAGGCAACTAGAGTATACAGCTGCCACCAAGACAGATAAATCTCACTGGGAGATCTAGACTCTTAAACAAAACAATTGGTCTCAACTGCCTTCTCATTATAGTTTTTCTTGAACTCTTTAACTCACACATGTTCACATACTTAACAAAGGAAGTGGATGGCATTAGGAATATATCCCTAATAAAATCTTATCAGCGTGGGGAATTTAGTTTATACTGTAGTTCTTCATTGGTCCCAAACACAGCTAATTCTTTTGGAATATTTCTAGATGCATGTATCAGGAATTCTACATTCAAACTTTCTCTGCTTAATATTTTTCTGACACTTAAGAGAAAAAATATTGGCTTCAGCTTTACTTTCTGCTTCTCTTAGAAACCTGTCACTACAATGCCAGCATGCAGGTTGCTGTTTTCAGAGGGTCCTATTACAAAATTGAAGCATTCTAGCTATAAAAACTTAAATCTATTCTTCAAAATGGTGATTTTAAATTTCTTCGACTACACAAAATATGTATAATAGTAATTTTTTATTAGTGTTGCCATGATAATTAAACATAAAGTGTTCATAGCCCCTTCATACAGAGCCTGTCCTTGACTGCATGTTAAATAAGATAGCTGTTATTATTACATAACATTACATACATAGACGATATTATATTCATATATTATATAAATTGTTCCATGGCAACATAACTAGGAGATTGCAAGTATTGTGTGTGACCCGTGACACTCTCCCCACTGGGTAACTTGTCACCTTGGCTCTCCTGTGAGCCTGTGAGTGAGGCACAGCCTCCTGGTCTCACCAGCTGTGTCAGTCCTCGGCCTCAAGTGATTCATCTTGGTTGTCAAATACCAGGTGAGTGGCAAAATAACTTAAAGACTCTGGGGCTCATTCATGATAAATTGTTTTCAAATCCACCCTTTCCTGGCGTAAACTTTGAGCTCGAATATGTGACTGCTGTTTGAGGAACATCATATTTAAAAAGGAGAAGCCAGAGTGGTACAGACAAGGGAAGCCTGTATCAGGGTCCTCTTTGGAAAATCCAAACTGGCATCTAAGCTTTTAAGCTTATTTCCCTGAATTCTAAACAGTTAATTGTTGATGTCTAAAACATGCTGTCTTTACAGTGACTGCTTTAGGGTGAAAGAGAAAGGGGAGTTTCTGCACAATATTCCTAGAATACATTTGTCATTCAGACAATAGCAATTTCTTCTTTCCTATGTTCTTTTACAAATGTTATTAAAGGTTACAGAAAATTAAGAGAATAGGAATGTTCAATTTATAGATATCAGAGATGAAACTACAAAATTAATGATGCAGTCTATTACATTTGAGAGCGTGAGCCAATAAATGGCATTAAAACATTTATAGCTGAAATACGGGGCTCTGCCAGCAGATTAGGGCCATTCACCAGCGCTGCTTTCTGGAGGCAGCCCTTACTTTGGGTTTTTTGTTTCTATCTGCACCAATAGTCCTGTAACAGCTCTTTTCTTGAAAGATTTCAGACTCCAGGTATCAGAGACTCTGATAATAACACAAATTTATGTCATGGAATACACAAAGGTAAATGTAATATTAAAATATGTTCCCGTGTTTGTAGAAATCAAATAGTCTTCGATTTATTTAAAATAAATCTAGGATATAACATAACACTATAACTAATAAAAGTCCATTAAAAGAGACAAATTTTTTACCTCAAATTCAGACACATTAAAACAAGTAGGTTATGAGAATGCAATAAATTTGCAAAATTTTAGGACGTTTGTACCAGGTCTTTGACCCTGAAATTTAAGTGGTTTATAAAAAGTAGAAACAATTCATTTATGCTGATAGTCTTTAAAAACAACTTCTAGTGAGAACCTAAGTATTCGCAGCCAATCTGATCCAAACCCTTGTAGATATTTCTGTGAGTTCTGTGGGACCTATCTCATGATCCTTTAAGGTGATTGTGAACCTTTGAGGTTGATTGTTTACCAAAAAGAATCTTCAGTTCTTCTGTCTCAAAACTGACTTGTATAAAGATTATTTCTATTCACAGAGATTTAAGTTTAATTTTGAAATTAAGGTTTATTTTGCATGGATTTCTGAACAATTTTGAGTTCATGATTTACATTTTAGATATTTGCTTCAAAGTTTCCTTGAAGTCATTAGGTTTATCGCATTTGAAAGCATTAGATTGTCCTAAGTTCCTTGAGGAAATTAGAACTACTACCCCCAACTTTCTAAAAGTTAAATTTGAAATTATCATGTATATATCTGGTCTCTCTGAGTACTTCTTTCATGCAGACTTAACCAGTTGTCTAATGAGAGTCCTAGGCTCATAACAAAGCTGAAAGATAGGCCCTGTGGTCTGAGCATCTCTCCAATTTACTAAACTGTAAGACCATTTGCTCCACAAAGGCAGAAGGTTTGTATTGAGCTTTCTTTTTCCCATGGAGAACATGACACACATAGTAGAATTAGATGCTCGGTGTGTGTGTGTGCGGAGTTACCACACCAGCCTGCATGACCGACACTTGGTCATTCTGTCCTGTCCTGAATAGCTTCACCACTTCATAAGGTGGCCCTTTCTACTTCCTGTATCGAAGTGGAATTTATGCCTGATGTTTCTATCTGGTTTAGCTCTCTGCTCTGAGCTACAGAACAATGTCTAATCCCTTTTCCAAATATCAATCCCTCAAGAAATTATAGAAAACGTTCCTTCCCCCTCAGTCTTTACTTCTCCAAGTTCAATGTCCCTACTTCTTCCAAGCATTCTCTGTAAGCAGAGTTTCCAGAACCTGCAAAATCTCCGGGCACAGGGATGGAGGAACCGTGAATCTGCAGAAACTGGTAATTGTGCGATGACCTAAGAGATCAGCCCCAGGAGAGCAGACGGTCCTGGGCAGGCCAAGGCTTCCATTCTCTCATTCTATGCCCTTCACACGTGGTCCGCCCGTGAAGGCCTCCTTAACCATGATGAAAGCTACAAATGCTTAGTGGATAAAATAGACTTCCTCTTCCCTCATACTGCTTCATCTGAGTTTATTTTCAACCCAAAATTAGTTACAAAAAACATGTTTGGGGAGTGGGGGCAGTCATATACTATAAATTAC